GGGTTGGGTGGGTGTGTAGTAGGAATGGGGATGTTAGGGTGACGGGTAGGGGGCGGGTGTGGGTCGGGGGCCCAACACCCCGGGGCTAGGGTTTGGGTAGGTTGAGTTCCAGGTACTTTGGACGTCCTTTGATGGCCGTTGTCTCAAGCCGCCGTTTGAACGCCCTCGACCTCGACCCCGGTTGCCGTTGCCACGCCCCTGTCCGCGTCCAAAGCCACCACGCTGTCTAGAGGAGGAGCCATCGCCGAAGTTGCTGCCAAAAAACCGATCCCCACTGTCACCGTGAGGAGGACCGTGGCTGCCACCCCCGCCGTGCTGGCTGCCGCTGTAGCTGCCGGCGTCCCGACCTTCCAGCAGGGTCGTGCTGCTGGTTTCGCCCAGAGGAGTCCGCTGCCGGTCGAGAAGGAGGAGAGCTGACCGCACCTGGAGAAAACTCGGCATGGGGTCCTGAAATTGGAGAAACGAAGTTTGGGCTTGTAGATCGTCGGGGAGGCCGCGCAACATCTAGAGTATTAGTTGGTGCTCAGACACGGGGGCATCTACGTCATCTAGCCAATCAGCAATATTCCTGAGCTCTTGACAATATGCGGCCATGGGGGTAGATCCTTTGACGGTGGTGCGAAATTGATGCTCGAGTTGCATGGCTTGAGCATGCTTATTGTCGTGGAACAAATCATGAATCATCGTCCAGAGAGTAGAAGCAGTAGAGACAGAAGAGAGAACGAGATCTGAAACCTCATCCGTGATGGTGGAGAGAATCCATCCCTGGAGAATGACATCAAGTTGGAACCATTTGTCGTCGTCGTCGGAGATGGGAGCAATAGAGCCTTTGAGATAACCCTGAAGATTGAACCGTCGTGCTAGGAGAAGGAACAAACGGCTCCACTTCTTATAGTTTGGTTGAGAAAAACTGAGTTGAATTGGAACATGAAGTTTGACGTTAGAGACGGAGAAAGTCAGATGTGGAGGTTTTTGGGTGGAGGATTGAGACGTGACCTCACTGTCGGTTATTGTGGGGGAGTGGAGGAGCTGCCGGCCGAGAAGGAGAAGGAGGAGGGGCGGCGGCGCTGGAGGTTCGGCGCAGGGAGGAGGAGGCCGAAGCTAGGGAGAAGATTTTTAGGGTTTTTTTTTGTTTTGGTGAGGCTCCGATACCATGAAGAATTGTATTTTCATTGATTAATTATGTGAGGAGTACATGTATATATATACAACATCTCAATCCTAGTTATGGTAGGAGAGGTATTCTAGGGAAGCTATACAAGTATGGAAACAAATCATAATACAATAATATTAAATATATTTAATATATTTAACACACACACACACACACACACACATATATATATATAATTTTTTTCTCTATAGTTCAATGAACAATATTATTATTTCAATACTCCTACATGGTATCAGAGTCTTGATGACCAAGAGGTTACGAGTTCAAATCTCACCGCCACTCAAAAAATTTTAACAAAAATAAGGTTTCACATGCAAGGCTCAAAGAAGTCATGCTTGCATGTGAGGGGTGTCTTAGAGTATAAAAATCTTTCCTGTGGTTGAGTTGGTTCCTTGACAATAATAATACCTCATAAGCCAAAGCATTTCTTTGCTTGCTTTCACTACTCTAATGTATTCTGCATTAGTTGTGGACAATATTAGAAGTATTTTTTAGTTTTGATTGCCATGATATGGCTTGGAAATGTAAACATCACATCACTTGAGGTAAATTTTCTATTGTCAAGATCATTTGTCATGTTTGCATCAGTAAAGCCTTCAAGTATTAGTTTTTTACATCCATATATAACAAAAAATTACTTTGGAAGAGCCTTACAAATATCTTACAATCATCCATATATAACAAAAAATCATTTTGGAAGAGCCTTGCAAATATCTGACAATCCATGCCATTTCAAGGCTTGCTAATGAGTCTTACCTGAATGTGATAAAAACCTTCTCACTTAGCTCACTGCATGTAAGGTGCAATATTAAGAATAACATATGCCTTATCATATATGAAAGAAACAACAAATAAATGTAAGGGATTAATTATTGTTGAATAATAGAAGAATTGTATTACTCAAGGAAATATAAATGATACAATGGCGTATATATAGGGGAGATTTCTAACATTCACAAGAATCATCTAATAAGGAGACAAAATCATAATTGTTAGGAGAACAAATGGAATGATAGAGAGATGTAAAGAAGATGTCCTTCGTATATTTTCGTGTGTGCTGCTTATCTACAAAGCCTCAATAACATATCTTTTGTGTACAATGAATAATCACCCAAACAACTCAATATTCTTGGCCATGTGTTGTTATTCCATGCCATGAGCTACTGCGCTGCTTGCCTTTGGACAAACGCAAGTGGCTGGACCTTCCTGTGGTTATCAAGTGATGACTACCAATATGGAATAATATCAAAAGCAATAATACCACAATAATATCCATAATAATAATAATATCCTAACCCCCCCTCAAGTTGGAGCATGAAGAAAACAAATGCCCAACTTGGGAAGAAGAGCTTCAAGACGACCTTTGCCAACAGCCTTCGTGAGAATATCCGCACATTGATTGTGAGTAGAGACATGTGAAGTACGAATAGAGCCGTGTAATAGCTCATCCTGAATAAAGTGACAGTCGATTTCAATATGCTTGGTGCGCTCATGAAAAATGGGATTCGGTGCAATATGAAGAGCTGTTGTACTATCACAAAATATTTGCATTAGAGAAGGATGGTTTACACCTAGTGATCGCAGCAAACCACAGAGCCACTTAAGCTCACATGTAAGTACCGCCATGGAGCGATACTCAGCCTTAGCAGATGATCGAGCCACTGTTGGTTGTTTCTTTGGTTTCCAGGAGAATGGGACACTCCAAGTTGAACAAACCAACCTGTTAGAGAGCAACGAGCCAGAGGGCAGGTAGCCCAGTCGGAATCACCCCATCCAGTCAACTGAATAGAACTGTTAGTCCGCAAAAGAATCCCATGTCCCGGGGACTCCTTTGAGGTAACAGACCACTCCCAACATTGCGTTCCAGTGATCAGTCCTTGGGTCGTGGAGAAATTGAGCCAATGTATGCACTTCATACGAAAGGTCTGGATGAGTTACAGATAAATAAACCAAGCGTCCAACCAATCGTTGATAGGCCCCTGGATCATCAAGCAAAGGGCTTAAAGAGGCTCCAAAGGAGCACCCAACGGACAACTGCCGAGTAAACCTGTTTCAGTAATAATATCAAGGGCATATTTTCTTTGGCTCAGAAAAATGCCAGTTGGATTTCGAGCCACTTCCACGCCAAGAAAATATTTTGAAATACCCAAATCCTTCATATGGAAATATCACTGGCAATAACGAAATCATCGACATAAACCAAAACGAGCACCACGGAGTCGGGCCGAGTATACGAGAACAAGGAATAGTCGGAATAAGATTGACTAAAAGCATATCGTCGCAGGGCACCAAAGAGTTTGGCAAACCAACAACGAGGAGCTTGCTTTAGACCATATAGAGACTTCTTAATTTTGCATACCATGTTCGTTGTCTTAGGCCGAAATCCAGGCGGGAGTTTCATGTAAACCTCCTCAGATAAATCACCATGAAGAAAAGCACTATGTACATCCATTTGATGTAACTCCCAGTTTCGCACCGCGGCCACCGCCAAGAGCACACGAACAGTGGTAAGTTTAACAACAGGGGCAAATGTCTCATTATAGTCAATTCCTTCTACCTAACTGTTTCCGTGAATAACAAGTCATGCCTTGTATCGCTTGATGGAACCATCTGACTTTCTTTTGATACGACAAATCCACTTACATCCCAAAGCCTTTTTATAAGGAGAAAGAGGGACCAAGTGCCACGTATCATTGTTCTCCAATGTAGTGATCTCCTCTGCCATTGCCTTGCGCCATGAAGGGGATTTAACCGCCGATTGATAGGATTGTGGTTCACACACAGTGTCAACCGCAGCCAAATAACTCTTGTGATGATCAGAAAACCGTGTGTAACCAATAACATTGTTTAAAGGATATTTACACGAAATACTCTCTTTTGCCACCGTGTAAGTATAGTAGTCCTAAATTCGAACACTGCTAGTTTTATGACGATGACCACGACCCATCAAATCTTTTTCATGTTGAGATACAGGCTGTTGTGATGCAGATTCTGGTGGGGACAGTGTTGTCCCTTTGTTGGGTACGTTTGACGATACCACCGGCAATGGTGGTGTGCTCACAGGCCCTTCGGAAGACTCACTTCCAGTGATGGTACAAGGCCATGTGGCAACTGGTTGCTCCAAACCCCCTGGGAAGTAGCTGCAGATGAATGGCGCCCTCATTGTCATCAAAGGAAAAGTCTTGTGCTACAAAGGAATTGTGGATTAGAACGAAATCCTGAAAAAGAAAAACATCTTCATAGAAAATTACGTCACGAGAAAAAATAAATTTTCCCGTGTCAAGACAATACACACACCATCCTTTCTCGCCGAATGGGTAGCTTGCAAAAACTCCCGGTTGGCTACGAGATTCAAATTTGTCTCCATGTCGATCTTGGTTGTGAATGTAGCAAAGACAACCAAGAACCCGTATGTGAGACATCACTGGTGTAGTCCCAAACATCATCTCATAAGGAGTTTTCCCATTTAATAAGACTAAAGGGGTCCGATTTATGAGATACGCCGCGACAAGAATACATTTACCCCAAAATTCAATCGGTAAGAAACCCAGAAAACGTAGAGCACGAGCAACATTCAAAATATGTTGATGTTTTTGCTCCACTCTTCCGGTTTGTTGAGATGTGGCTCTGTAAGAGGATTCATGCAAGATTCCTTGCTCACGAAAGTATGGATCGAGACTCTCAAATTCCATTCCGTTGTCACTACAATCTGTTTTCACTTTAGCATCAAATTGACGAGCAACCATAGCACAAAACTGACAAAAAATTAAGGGAACCTCAGATTTAGTGCGTAAAAGATATACCCAAGTTCCACGAAAATAATCATTTACAATAGTAAAGAAAGACTTAAAACCTTCCATACTTTGTGTTCGATAAGGACCCCAAACGTTAATGTGAAAAAGCTGGAATAAATATGTAGTTTTATTATTACTCAATGGAAAAATAGCTCGTGATTGTTTGGCACGTAAACAAATAGAACAAGGTTCTTTATATAAAGTACTAGCTTTGCTATTTTTAGCTAGAGGAAATAAAGATAGGATTTTAGCAGATGGATGTCCCAAACGTCGATGCCAAAGGTCAAACGAGCATTCCCTTGTTACCAATATTACGTCGTCACTTGTGGATTGCTGAAAATAATATAGGCCATCGCTTTGCCTACCCGCACCAATCACCTGCATCGTGGCACTGTCTTATAGAATACATAATGTTCCATCAAATTTAACCAACCAGTTAGTCTCCGTTATCAACTGAGAGACAGAGATCAATACACAAGTTAAATCAGGCACAAACAACACGTTATTCAATATCATAGAGTCATTTAACCGGACTCGTCCTGCAGTTGTGGCAGCAACACGTTTTCCATCGGGCAATCGAATTCAACACCCCGTAATGTTATGAGTGTCAAACTAGCTATGGAAATCCCCAGTCATATGGTTTGTGGCTCCAATATCAATAATCCAAGTTTTAGTAAAGGGAATACCTGATAGCTTTTCAGCAGTTCCGTCTTTGACGGATGCAAGGAGAGCACGAAACGTATCCCATTGGTCGGCCGTAAGTGAAGGAACCAGGTTGGACAAAGTTGGCTTCTGCCCGCTGTTTGCAGTCACTGCCGCAACATGTGCTGTGTGCGCCGATACAGTTGGGCTACGGCCAATGTTTAACCAGTGACCACGACTCCAGCCACAACTTCCCTCGTCGCGAGCACATCCTCCACAACCCTCTGGATATCCATGAAGCTGAAAACAAGATTCTTTATCATGTCCTAGTCTTTTACAAAAACTACATGTTACATTTTTGTCACGAGGAACATCGAACAACATACTTCGGGTTGCAAATGCTGCATTTTCTAGGCGAGCATGAACATGGGTGGCGCGAGCAGTTTCTTCTTGTGCAAAATACGGTAGACACGAGACGTGGAAGGGAATGGTTCTTGAGACAAGATTGTGGAGCGAAGATGACCGAACACCATGTCATCGAGGCCCATCAAAAACTGATGAACCTTTTCTTCGTCACGTCTTTTCTCCAATTGTTGTGCAATATTGCATGTACATTTGGCGCAGGTGCAAATGGGATACAGATCAATATCATTGAGATCATCCCATAATTTCTTCAATTTTTCGTAATAGGCGGCTATGCTCAAGCCACGTTGATCACATGTCGTTAACTCACATTTTATTTCTTGAATTCGAGGCCCGTTCACTACCGAGAATTGCACCTTGATATCTTCCCACAACTCACTTGTCATCTCCATGTATGAAATAGTGTTGCGAAGGGATGATTCTTTTGTGTTTCGTATCCACGAAATAATCAAGGAATTGTTTGTCCACCAATCTTCAAGATCGCCCGTTTCCTCCAATGGTTGCGGAATAGACCCATCAACGAGTCCAAACTTTTTCCATGCCAGAAGAGCCGTGCGAATGGCACGCACCCACTCCTCATAGTTTTCACCGTTCAAGACAACTTGTGTAATGATTAATCCAGGGTTGTCATTTGCATGAATATTGTACGGAGAGATCGTACGTCACTAGGGAATTTCGTCGGAGACTTTACTCTTGTTCGCGTGACTAACTCCTCAGAAGACATGATCAGCTGCGATTCCTCAGCAAAGCCGGCAGGCAGGAGTGCGTGTGAACAGAGAAGAAAAAAATGAGGAACCATATGGCTCCGATACCATGTTAGGAGAACAAATGGAATGACAGAGAGATGTGAAGAAGATGTCCTTCGTATATTTTCGTGTGTGCTGCTTATCTACAAAGCCTCAATTATATATCTTTTGTGTACAATGAATAATCACCCAAACAACTCAATATTCTCGGCCATGTGTTGTTGTTCCATGCCATGAGCTACTGCGCTGCTTGCCTTTGGACGTACGCATGTGGCCGGACCTTCTTGTGGTTATCACATGATGACTACCAATATGGAATAATATCAAAAGCAATAATACCTTAATAATATCCATAATAATAATAATCAAATGCTATCATAAATATCAAGAATTTTATTATTGGTTATTATTACTCAACACCCCCTCAAGATGAACAACGTGAAACGAGAGCTTTGTACCGAGAAGATGGTAGCCCCTATTGGTGAGTAAATCGACTAGCTGGTCAGCATAAGGAGCATAAAAGACATTCATTATTTCAACCATAACTTGTTCTCAAACAAAATGAGAATCCGTGTCGTACACTTGTGAAACAAAGGATTCATAGTTAGGTAAATGGTAGATTGATTATCACAAAACATATGCGGAGGTGATAGCGACCTGTAGGGTGCTAAAAAGATAAGAAATGGAGCAATTGTCTATCAATAGGGTCACACCCATAGGGTCACAAAACCTCGACTATGCTTTTGGAGTACCCGTTGGGTGAGACTCGACTATGCTTCTCGGTACTCCAACAAGTAAGATTAGGACCCAAGTAAATCAGGTGTAAAAAATGGAGCAATTGTCTATCAAATCATTTGCCTAATGCGAAAGACCAACCCCTGGTTAGTGGGTGCATGCATGCGTTGAGAAACATGATTTACATCATATTCTATACCTGATCTAGTATTTGTGAGATACCAGAGAAAACCAACAAGACTACAAGAGAAAGTAGGATTCCCAAATGGTGTGTCAACCCCCTCGTCCTTCGACCGAACTGGGATAAGAGTTGTCGATGGCTTGCAATCGTTCACACCAATCCAGTGGATAAATTTTCGAGCATATTTTTTCTTAGAAAAAACTAAGTCATCTATCGTACATTGGACTTTAAGCCTCAAAAACTAGTGAAGCAGGACAAGGTCTTTCATCTGAAACTCATGTTGCATAGCTTTAATCAAAGAGGTGATGAGAGTACCGGCACTACATGTGACAATGATATCATCAACGTATAAAAGTAATATAAAGAGACCCTGGGCAGTGTGTATGACAAATACACACTATCACATTCATTTTTCTAAAACCTGCAATCGATGAGGAACCCTGACAGATGCTGGTACCATGCTCGAGGTGCATATTTTAATCCATACAATGATTTTTACATTTAGACACATAATGAAGAAATTTTTAATTAATATAGTCGAGAGGCTGTTAATTATAAATTTGCTCTAGAACTTTATCATAGAGAAAAGAATTAGAAACGTCCATCTAATGCAACAACCAATTATTATTGATAGCTAAAAAAAGCACAACCCAAATAGTCTGCAGCTTGACAACATAACTAAAGGTCTCAAAAAAGTTCAAACCATACTAGCGCGTGTGACCCTTTGCAACCATGTGCGCTTGTACATGGAAATAAAGCCATCTGCATTATATTTAATTTTATAAATCCACTCACAACCAATGGGAACCCGATCTGAAGGAATCGGAACAAGGTCTCATGTGTTCTAATTCATCAAGGCCGAGAACTCCTCGGGCATAGCCTAACACCAATAACTATTCTTTGAGGCTTTTTTATATGTGACAAGATCATTAAATTAGGGGTGGAAACGGGAATAGAGGCTCCATCGAGTTTGGGTTGAAAGATATTACCGCGAGCATGGGTAGTCATATGGTGTCGTGGCAGTGGTGTAGGAATGGGCGATGATTTGAGACTGATTTAAGATTGAAATGGTCTTAGACAACCTGTAAATACTCATTCTGCATGTAGCTATAGTCCAAGCCATACTTTTAAGTTGAATTTCTTTCCCAAATTTTGTGAGAAGTCCTTTGTCCTATGACAAAAAACGATGTCTGATTTTCTCATGAATGTAACCAAAAATTGACTTTTTATATCAATCAACTATAGATGGGACCCCTATATATTTTCCAAAATCATTTTCTTGTTGAACTCCAAATACCCCTACCACAATTTCTCTAGTGATAGGGTCGATATTGAGACTAAAGCAAATATTTGACATTTGAAAGTTAACTATGTGACGTGAAGTGTGCTCATACATATTAAGATATCTCTAGATTTCTTGAGCTTCTTAAGGTTGTATTAGAAATGTAACACCTTAGTCCTTCCAGATCTACCGTCTCTTTCGGACTAAAGTAGTAATTTGATAATATTAAAATTTAAAATATTTAAAACCTTATTTAAAACAACTGTGCAAAATATTTTGGAATAACATCGGAGTAAAATTATTTAAAACACTACGGAAGTAATTGTAACTACAACAGTATGGTCAACCCATAATTTAATATGTGATAAACTCATTTACTCAAATAGTAAGTTTGTGCACGTCCACGCATCGCCTCCATCTCAGTACCCTCCAGGATGGGCTCCATATTTATTTTGTCTTATACCTACATGAAAAAAGATGAAAAAGTCAACACCCTCAACAATGAAGCTAAGTGGTACCATGACACAACAAAAGAATTCACAGAATATTTTCTTTCACAATATCAATCACATATATCTTATTTGATGCATTACTGTCATGCATCAAATAAAATTCTTAAATTGATCAAAACATCAGATTTAACTTGGAAATGATATTAATACTGATTCAAAAGTAGCAAAAATAATATTTTACAGCTTTAAAATTCGGATTTTTAGTGCTGAAAGGACCTTGTTGGTCAACCCTTACCGTGCGAATATCGATCGTTAACGCCACCATGCTACTAAACATGCTACATTTACCGTTACCGTGTAGAGATCGACTGTTAGTGTAATGTAGTAAAACACAAAACTGGTTGAGGGATGGTCCACCGTTCCATGCAACAGCCGACTATTCTACAACTAGTCATCATCAACTCGATCTAAACTTTAGAATTACCATTTTAAGCTACCAAAATTTGATTTAACTATATAAAAATTTTCAAAACCTCATCAATTGTTATAAGATGTGAACAAGAAGATGTTAGGTTTATAGACTCCAACCATTTGGTATTTTTAGAACTCAAAAGTAATCCCACCTGAGACAAACAATGTTCCAAATGTCTCATTTTGTGCTTACCAAAGTTTGCTCCATTGCATTAATACAAAATTCACTCTTTGTGAGTATATATTGTTAGTTCCATATTAAGTTGGCAATATGTTTTGACAAACGAATAGATTTACCCAGAATTATTTTATATGTTTTATATAGACTTAGAGCCCTAGCATGTGCAGAAAGAGAAAGAAGAAAGAGCTTGAAGATAGAATTTTAATCCTACTTGGTATACTACTCTTGAGGAGGAAGCCATGATTGATTCTCTTAAGTACACTCTAACAGGTCTAACAGGGTTATTGTATTCCATATATTAACTTTGCCTTGCCTTACAGTTTTGGTGGGTTAATTAGAATATTTTAATGGGTTATATTATTATTTAGTAGTTATTTATTATTAGTTATAAATATTCTATAGATTAGGGTTTAGTACGGGCCCGAGCCCATTAGGTCAACTAGCGTTTTTTTACTCTCTATATATTGTAATCCTTCCCCGTTATTCTGAAATCAATAAACAACTCAAAACCCTAATTCCTTCTCCCCTCTCGGTTCGCCGATTCCCTCTTCGCCTCAATTCTTCTTCTTCTTCCTCGTCTCATATTCTCAAGAGCTCGAAGACGCTCTGAGTCTTCCCTATCCGATACGGAGTCCGTATTAAAGAGTACGAAAAAATAGAAGCAGATCCGATAAAAAAAGGAAGAAGGTGCAGTTTTTGACAGTGCAAATTTTCTAGAGAGCCTGCACGAATTTGATCATCATCGGTGATCTGACCATGAGATTTTGCAGAAATTCTTAGAGAGTTTTTCTAACACATAGGTCTTCAATTTATTCAATTTTCACGTCAATCAAAGTTACGGATCTTCTGTTATCAAAGTTACGATTTACATATTACCATTGGTTTATTGCGGAAAACGCTGCTCTGGTTTTGTCGATGATCACAGTACCAAATCTTGTCAGATCGTGTTGAAATTTTAGGAGAAGTCTAAGGATTTGTGAAACTTCAATCTGAACGATGGAGATCAAATTCAAACGGTATAATCTTGATTTATGAGCTTCGGATCAGCCTGCATATATTTGTAGATCAAGACAGAATCTTTGTTTAAAGGTGTACTGGAATCTACATCCTTGAAGAAGATCTTGGAGAAAGTGTAACAAGCCGTGGAGATAGACGCAAACAGAGTTTGTCGTTAAGTCATTCACAAGTGGACAGATCAATACATTAGAAGGTTCTATTGTGATTTATTGTGTAACTCATATGATGATTTAGTGGAAGGGTTGTTACATGATTGTGGGCCCCGCAGATGTAGGAGATCAGAGTTGCTTTGAACTACGTAAACAATTCTTGGGCAGTGTTTACTGTTTTTACTTTATATTCTGCGTGTGCTTGTGACAAAGAAGATGAGACAACACTTTGTCTGTCATCTGTTACTTTGATAGTATTGCAGTATCTTCTCTACAACATAATTGTTTGATCTGTTTGCATAGCTTTCAATTGGTGATTTCTGCTACACCCCACAAACTTACATATATTACACATAATTAAAACTTAAATTGATAATAGCTAGAAAATACAATATCTTCCATTAGATGAAGAAACTTGAATCACCTCATTTAACAAAGATAAGAAGCATATAAAACAACAAGAAAACAAACAAACTATAAATTAAAAGGAGTATGTTCTGTGGGCATTCACCATCAGAGCTGAAACAAACAAAATGTCCACTAAGCAAAATCAATTTCCTCCTCTTAGAATAGAAGCAAGGAATTTTTTTTAGATATTTTCACAAGATTTAAAAAATGGAGAGAATACACGCAAGAACCTGGACATTAAAAGGTTTCAAATTTGCGCTATGAATAGTGCACCAAAATAACAAAATTAACCAAAACTGAAAAATCTTTGATTGGAGATGGAAATGAACATCAGAATCTTCGTAGGTCGTCCAGGTCGCTCAAGATCCCTCCAAAATTACGCTTCAATTTGGCTAGAATCCATGCGAAACCAAACTTGAAAGGTTTCATCGATGAAGTTGGCTTGCGATTCAGCCAAATCCAACACGATTGGAGAGCTAAGAAGTAGCGACGCAGACGTCATTGGCGAACGAAAGCCAACAAATAAAAGGAGAAAGATGGTGAAGAAGAAAAACCAAACGAACCGCATTTGAGAGACAAAGCCCGATCTAATTTATCAAAATAAATAGATATTGGCATCGGTTAAAAAATGAATAGATGCAATACACTCTTTAGGATCAGGTAAAATCAAACCACCCATGCCTTTCCTTTTTTAAAAAAATAAAATCAAAAAATAAATATGGATATTAGCATAAGTTGTTTGCAATAAGAGATGCCATTGATCAATTACGTTAGTTATTCTAAATAAACGATGCTAATAACCATTTTTATTTTCAAAATATTAAAAAATATGTCAATGGCATCGGTTCTTTGAAATAATTGATGCCTTAAACCTTTTGCATTGAGTTTTCCAATAATTGATGCAATCTATTTATTTGTTTTTGTAGTAGTGATTCTATAATAAATATGTTTTCAAAAATCACTAAAATTTTATGTATTTCAAAACGGATATTCTAAATCTATTTTCCTAAAAATGATTCATCAAAAATACTTACATAAAGTTTTCAACAAAAATGTTTTGTATGATTTTCAAAGTAAGTTCCAACATTTTATTTAAGATTAATTTTCTCATATAATAGCTTCAAATACACTTTTTTTTATATTCAACATAGAATACGTTTTTGAAATAATATTCATAAAGAATTAACCAGGTTCAGAAGGATATCATATTCATAAAGGCTACAACTTTTGTGAATAAACCATATTAAAACAATAAAGTTTAGAGGTAGGGTCATACGCTACCTAGAACTGGACTGATTTGCACAGATGTTTTTCTTCCTTTCAACTTTCTAGGGCAACTTCCGGAAACAACCACGATTGACTCCGGAGACTTTGACAACAATGATTACTTGTGGCCTACTCTATATACTCTAATGAAACTATATGAAATAGAATGAATGAAAATGGTGTGGAGATGAAGGAGGATGAGCATCCCTTTTATAGTGGAGAGGAGGAGGAAGCCATGAAAGCTACTATTCTGAATTCTTCAATTGGAAAATTTCCAATGGCCTAGTGCGATCCTAAGAGGTTTTACACGCCTCTCAGTGATTATGACTAATTTTATCTAAGTTGTAGTATAATTTTTGGTCCAACTATCTCTAAATTTAAATATGATTGCACCTTTGCGATCAGACAATCAAGCTCTATGTAACTCTATAACTTTCATATTTTTTTGAAATACCTTTTCTAGCATCATATTTTGGGAGTTTGACTTTGACAGAGTCAAACTTGATTGAATTGACATATAATTAAATAGATTCTCATATTCAATTAATTTTATTCAATCTAAAAATTTATTTCAATAAATCATTTTGCAAAAGTGTTGGGACTATTTCTCAAAATTGTCCAGCCCAATTTGTTTTTTCAAGTTTTCCAGGTGCATGAGTTAGCATTTGGAAAGATAAATGTGGTGATTGGAATTATTGCATTTGGGAGGCTGTTCATTTGTCTTAGGTGGCTGTTTGGGCTTTAATGTAATGCTTTTGCTTTTATATTTAAAGCCTTGCATAGGCTTTGGAAAAAGTGGAGGGGCTGGTATGAGCAAGAAAAAAACTTCTAGCCTTGTGTGTTCTTTTAAGAGAGAGGTTGTACAACTTGCTTCTTCATACAATATTTTAGGGGTCTCTAAAGAGTTCTAGTGGATTATTGGTGGAGTTTTACCAATTGTATTAGGGGATTTAGAGGGGTTTTTTCTTTGTACCAAAATATTGTATGTGGATCTAGGATTGGTGTTGTAATCCTTGACGATTAAGTTGTACTTGCACTATTTTTTATAGTGGTGGTTTTACCTCTGTAAAGAGGGTTTTTCCAGTTTCAATAATCTTTGGTCTCATATTTGGTTTTTTGGCTTGCGGTTTCTTTGTTCTTAGACTACTAGTTTGTTCCTTCATTGCGTGGGAAGTTTTGTGCTAAATTTCCCAACAAAGTGGTATCAGAGCTTTCGGGTTATGTTCTGGTGGTTCTAGTAGTTTTCGAGGATGGCAAGTTTGAGTTCGGGATCTCACTTTGCCGTGCCTAAGTTCGATGGAAAGAGTAGCTTCGCTCTTTAGCAAAGAAGGATGAAAGATCTCCTTGTGCATTGGGTTTGTCTAGAGCCCTTAAAGAAGATGAGGTGAAGCCGGAGAAAATGAGTGACAATAATTGGCAGGAGTTGTGCGAGAAGTGTGTCAGTACCATCCGGTTGTGCATTGCAGACTCTGTCGTTAATTGTGTTATTGACGAGGAGTCTCCGAAAGAAGAAAGGGAGAGGAAGAAGAGAATAAGGTAAGAATGGACATTTCATTTACCAAAACATTCTATAATAGAAATGGAAAGTTTTTTTGTGAACCAAGTAAAAAAGAAAATAGGAAATTTAATTGTGGAGAGAAGGAATATGTGTTTTTGTGTATTTACATGTACACATGGGTCCCCTAACTAATTTTGATGTCATCAACGCCCACTACCGGCAGTAGTCTAAATGGGATGGCTTCCAAATTGTATTTAGCAAGTGTCACAGAATATTCTCTCTCTCCTTTCGGCGATAAGGTTCTTGAGAGTTGTGACGCCACTGCTCCTATAAATTAACTGCTCCAATGAGAGGTTGAAGAAGAGAGGCCACTGCTTTCTTCCTCTCTCTGTTTCCAATTTCTTCTCTGTACTCTCCCTGAGAAGAGCAGCCTACCCGAAATCTCTACCATGGTCGGGCCTTCTCCCTCCAGCCTCAAATTCGTCTGCAGCTACGGCGGCAAGATTCTTCCTCGTCACACTGACGGAAAGCTCCGCTACTATGGCGGCGAGACCCGTGTTCTGTCTGTCGATCGATTCATCCCCTTTTCCGGTAAGTTCTCTCCGGCCCAGTAGTCGTTTTCCCTTTTTTATATTCGGATGAAATTGTGTGAGACTTCCTTGCACATGTTCATGGAATCTGTGTTTCTGTGTTGAGCTGATTAAGGGTTTGATTTCGTGATGAATTGCCCTGATCTTCCTAGTGCCCACCACCTGTTTGTGTTAATTCCTCTTTCAAGATCATGGTTCTAATTGTACATACTCTTGGAGATGCTGATTTTTAGATGTTCCCATCAGTTGTCTGTGTATAAGTGCTCTTAGAAGAGCCTAATTATAAGTTATGCCCATCAATTGTTTGTATAAATTCCACTAACAAGATGGGTTTGATTCAACTATTTGAAAAGCTCAATTCTTTGTTGTGCCCACCACTTCTTTGTGTAAAATCCTCTTACCATATGAATGTACCCTTTGAAAATCCTGATTTTTAGGTGTGCCTATAACCTGTTTGTGTAACTTCATCAATCAAAAGTATATGTGGGGTCCCCCCCCACCCCCACCCTCCTTTTGTAGCTGTGAAATAACTTAGAATTGAAATGGTGTTTGTGGTGGTGGCAGAGCTGTTGGTGAAGCTGGGAGAAATGTATGGTTCACCTGTGAGTCTCAGGTGTCAGCTGCCAACCGAAGACTTAGACGCCTTGGTTTCCATAACTTCCGATGAGGATCTCGCCAATCTCATTGAGGAACACGACCGATGCAGCTCATTGTCGCTCAAGATTAGAGCTTTCCTCTCGCCACCAAAATCGACAAAAAAGTACCCACGTCCGATCTCAACTGCTTCCTCATCCACCACAGACGATTCTTCGTCCCCTAAGGTGTCTTACACTTCTCCCAGACACCTATCACCTCGATCTGGCGGCTTGAAGTATGCCAACCAGATATCGACGTCTCCTTGTTATGGCGTAAGACCTCCTCAGTGTGGCCACCACTTTGCTGCCGGAAACAATGGCCATGTTCATTTGATCCACCATGGCAATCATTGGCAGTAAGCCTAGCGTTTATATAATGTACGAGTATATATATATTGAAGAAACCTGGAGTTGAATTTAGTATTATGGATCTCTCAAGTATGATGATGGATGGTCCCTTGCAAGGCTCTTTTATAATGTACTTGCAAGCTGATTTGTAAATAACTTCTACTTGGGTATTTGATTTCCAATTAATTTTTTGTATTAATCAAGTTAAAGTATGTAATTATATATGATTATCCTTGCCACATTTTTTTTCTTTGCCCTAATTTTCACAGACAATGTTTGAACGAAACAGGATCAAAACAGGATCATTCTCATATTTAATGTGCTCGCTTTTTTGGGGTTATCTTCTAGAGGGAAAAAAATGTGGAAAAGCTAGATTGAAAAATGAAAAACAAAATGAAGATTTTAATTTACTCTTTGCCCTCAAAATGAATGAAGTTTATATTTTGACTTTACAAACTTTATTAAGTATTTCAAAATGAAAACTAGTAATATAGTTAACACTGAGTTTGGTCCCATGAAGTGGACTCGTGAATCAATTTGGTCTATGTATGTTGTATGGAGTCAAATTAGTGTCTATGTCTAAAAATGTGAATCAAGTTACTTCATCAAATGGAATTAGGGGGTTCAATTTAGATTTTACTCCCTCCGTTCTCAAAAATACTTCCTCTTTCATTTTTTTTTTCACTTCCAACAAAACACTTCCATTTTTTATTAAAAAACAACTTTTACTCTTACTTTTTCATACCCTACCTATCACATCATACTTTTTCTCTAATAATCTACCCATCACATCTTACTTTTACCCATCACATCTAGGGCAAAACTGGAAGTCAACTACAATTTAACACTTCCTTATTTTTCCACTTTTTCAAAGTAGGAACTCTTTTTGAGAACGGAGGGAGTACAAGATTTTGATAGATTATTTAGAATCCATAGATTCTGTAAGTTTATTGGATTGTTTTAAGTTTACGCAGAGTTAGCTAGATTCTAATGTATTTTGTATTTTTTGAAAGGATTTTATAGGATTATATTTTACTTTTCTTTTATTCTTTTTTTCTTCTTTTCTTTTTACTTTTACTTTTTCTTTTCTTTTTTTTCCTCCTCCCCCCATGAACCCTAGCCCCTTCTTCCGCCATATCCGTTCTTTCAATTTTTTCTTTCCTTTTTTATTTTTCTTTTCTTTTTTCCCTTGTTCCTCCCCAGAAACCCTAGCCCCTTCTTCCGCCATCTCCATTCTTTCTATTTTTTCGTTTCTTTTTCCCCTTCTTCCTCCCCAGAAACCCTAGCCCCTCTCTCTTCTTCGATCTTCGACCTTTCCTCTGCCTAATTCGAGGGTTGCCGTCATCGTGCTCCACGTCAAGTCGCCGCCATCGTGATGGAGATTGGGCGAGATGGGGGCACGGGGCAATGAA